TTACGTTGGAAACTTAACGTTTGATGAAGAATCAGTAGTGCATATGAAAGAGCTTTTACTGCAGAAATATCTTTTAATTAAAAAAATTAGCATACCGAAACATTTGCTAATTTCTGTGCATTTAAAGGGTCCTAAAATTAACTGTTTTCTTAAAGCTAGACTATGGTTATTTACCAGGCAGGTTTTATTTTATTTTTCTCCAATTAATTGTACCTACTATATTGAATGGAATTGAATTTATTTTCCACTAAGCTGTTGGATACATTGTAAATCAAATCTAAGAAGCTAATTTTTTTAAGTAGCTGCTGTCAGCATCGGAATTAACCCTTGACTTAGGGGAAAAAAAAAAATAAAAATGACAAGTAGAAAATCCTATTTGGCATCATGAAGAGGTATTGCTATCTGCCACTTTACTGAGATGCTGCCATGCAGCGCTGCTGCGTTCACTTGTTTTTTAGGATGTGCCTGAGAGCTCAAGTGCTTGTACAAAATAGGGATGTCTGTGCTGCTGAAGATGCTTATATACATTATATATTTATTTGTGGCAATTACTAAACTGCCTGTCAGTGTTTTTGCCCACGTTGAGGTTGTAATCAATGCAGAAAATTTGCGAATAAGCAACAGTGCCGTAAAAGCCAGCATGATACGTAGACCTTGACTCTGTTTGTACATTAGTACTACAAATAGGATTTTGCCTTGTCTCCTATTGTGTCACTGTCTAGTTGCTCGGGGCCCAGGTTTTGTGCATTCTTCTCCCTCCCCTCTGAGACAGGATGCTGAATGTTACAGCCGACAGCTCGTTGTTAGGAGGTATTAAATAATAAAAGTTACACAGTAGTCATCATCAGTGAAACAGGGCCCATCAGCTTATGTGAGCTAGGAGCAGCCTAGTCTGATGCGAGCATCTCTGTGTGATCTGCTCTGGAGAAGAACAGAGGTATGTCATAGGGGATGCTATGTGCAATCCTGTTTTGTCCCATTGCTCCATGAGAGTGGAGACTTGTCACTCTGCATTTTAAAAAGATATCTTAGAAAAAGAGTTACTGAAGTGCTCTCTTTTGCACTGGGAGAGAAGTGTGAAGGAATGCAAAGAGGCAAGACTTGTTGGGATAGCACCACTATCTAGAAATTTGCTGTAAAGCATGAGGTGAGGAGAATAAGTTGGCGTTTGGGTGAATGTCAGGCTTACTGTTAAGCACTTCTGCAGCAGCCTGGTGATGCATCCAAGAGCTGTTCACCTTTCTCTGCTCTGGATGTGTGATAAAAAGTTGAGCAAATAGACTTGTGACAGGCTCTTTCCTGGTCTTGTCCGTTCTCAAAATGTGAGTTTTCTGTTAGTGATTTACTTATTCATGTAGTCCTTTAATTATTTGTGTGAAAGTGGTTAAAACATCTTTTTGTAGTATGCATGCAGGCTGCCTCCCCTTGAAGCAGGTTTTTGGTTTGGTGGGCCCATGTAAAGTCTGCAGCCTGCCAGCGTCACTAGATTAATTTCTAAAGTTACTTTTATGGCTCTTCCTGGCGTCCCTTTTGAGGTAAACAGTTTTGCAGAAAGGTCAGTGTTGGATCAGCAAAGAAATAATTTTCCATGAAATGAAGTGGAGCTGTAGATGATCACCACTGGGGGAAGGTATGATGATTGGTGGGAAGGAAAAAGAAAGAAGCTGACTAGTAAGACTGGTTAGTCCCTCTATGTAGTTAATCTCAAAGGCACACGAATATTATTTGTTGTTATTACTGTTATAAAACTGTAGCTGCTACTTTGATTTTGGTGTTGTAATATAACAACAGATGAAGCTAGCCCTAAAGGGACCCGTTGTCTGCTTTATTCACATTAGTGATAGTCGTTCTATATGTCGTCTTATAGGGCTCGGGCTTGGTAATCTGTTCTGTTACACCATATGCTAATACACTGCTGATAAGCAAGTGTGAAAAATGAAAGGGAGGAATACATTAATTGTATTTGTGCAATAAGGTATGCTATCAAAGGTAATTATTTCGTGACAGTTTTAGTTATAGCAGTTGTTTTATCATGGAATAAAAGATGGCTTTAGGAGCCTTTTATTGGAAAGACAATTGTATCAAATTAGTACCAAATTAGATTTTTGTCTTTATAAAGGTGAGCAAACCCATGAGCAGTTTTTAAATTGGTGTCTTCTACTCTACAAATGAACAAATCCTGTTTGAGGGTTAAAGAAGCTATTATTCTGTCCTTTATGCTGACAGCTTCATTACTGATTGGCCTACTGTTGGTATTAAAAAAATGTTTGGCTCCTTATGATCTTAGTGCATGCAACTATAATATTAATACAGACCATGGAACTGTTCATTAAGAAATGGCTTTAAATGAGGTTGATGCTTGTAAATCTGGAGAGATACAGATGTTAAATGCTGTCGTTCCTTTTCATATACAGCCGTATGGCTAATAATTTCCAAGTGGCTAAAGCTCTTGTTAGCAAGAGTGCTGGTGTGTTAAGAATGGCCCTATAAATAACTTTAAGAACTGAAGTTGAAGGTGCTTCTTTTAAAGACTATTGTTAACTAAACATTATTGCCAAACAGATGGAAAGCATTCACCAGCCTGATGTTTTTAGGTCTAATTATATTATCGCCAGTCCTGTACGGCTCAGTTGAAGAGGTGTATCCAGAGGCCAATTTATAATCATTTAGCCAACACCTGTTTGGGAGATATTGACAGTCAAAGGGCACATTTAAAAAAAAAATCACATATGTTCTTGTATTTATTGCCTCAATGTGAACAGTGTCTAGTTACAAACAAACTTGGGAGAAGAAGAAGAAAAGTGACTGTAAACTCCGAACCATTTGTGTCTTCTTTTGGCACCTCTTGTAAAGTGACTTTTATTTTTCTCTTGTTCTTTTCGTTTTCTTTGTTTGTTTGTTTGTTTATGGTTTTTTTTTTTTTTTTTTAGATTTTAATTTTACACCTTTTATTTAAGCAAAGATAGCAAAACTGGTTTTACAGTTGGTATTTCTTCAGCTGGTTTCCACTGCTTGTGGAAGCCCGAGGTGAGAGGCCTGAAAAGTTGTTTGGCAAACTCAGTGGCCTGGGGACATTAGCCTTTCCTTACTGTGCCCTTGACATGGAAACTGTGTCATTCCTTTGTCAAAAAATCTCAGTAACACCACTTCTGTTGATATTTTTTTTCACTGGGAGATACAGAACACCTTTTAAAATTGGGTGCAACCCTAGAGGAGGTCTTTGAGGTGGAGAGGTGTCTGTCACTTTATTTCTTTTGGTGAGAGAATGATCAGAAAATGCTCCAATTCTCCTCCTCCTGCTTGAGACACTCGAGGGTGTGGTGGGGAGAGGTGGAGGGCAGTGTTTTGAATGTGGCCATCCCAAAGAGCGAAGGTTGCTTTGCTGCAGACCCTGCTCGGGGGAAGCCAGTACGACCCTGTACCTGAGCCCTGAGACCTCCCCTCCTGGGCCTTTTGCATGTCTCCACCTCACCTCACCATGGGCACTGCAAGGGACGGCTGTTTCTGCATTTCCTTTGGCAAGGGGAAAGTCAGTGTGTCAACCTGGTGGGCTTCACCCTGTCAGAGATAGTGGGCATGACTGTATTGCTGCCCCACACAGCAAGGAGATAAGTGTGCTGTATTGTCCTTCTCCTGTCACCTGATGAATCCAACGCCATGTTACTCCTGACGCGTCATTCCTCTGCAAGAAGTCTTTTTTGGTGTGAGCTGACTTGGTCTTAACTGCATCTTGTCTTTTGAACTCAAAGTTTGGTAACCCCAGTGCTGGCATTTGCAGCCCTTTAGGTGTTTGATTTTCCAACCTAAATATTTTGGTATAACTGTAAGTGACTATTTATACTGGAAACTTACAATGCCTGTGGTAAATAAACAGTGAGTGCACACTCTTGTTCCTAGAGGAGTGTTGAGCTTGTGCTCGTGCTGCTCCTGTGGCTGTCTTGCAGCTGGTGCTTTTCAAGGACATCTGTGCTCTTGGAGTTTGAAAACAATTAATTCCTGAGCAGGGTGATTTGAAGACGGAGATGCGAAGGGTTCCAGCTCCCTAAAGATGCCATTTCCCCAATATATATACACACATATATTTTTGTTTGTTTTGTTTTCAACATGTAAATAAATGGAGCTTACTAAGAGGGTAGTCGTTATTTAGTACTTCTGTCATTGCTGTGCTGTGCTCGCAGTAGAGGTGATGCTCTCCTAACAGAGATGCTGTCTGCAGCTGTAGGTGTTCTCTGTGCAGCGAACCTATCCAGTCTTTTCCTAAATAAATCCTCTTTTTTTTTTTTTACACCTTAATAATAGTTTACGGTAGCACAAAGGGACTTCCATGCAGACATTTCTGTTGTGGCTGGTGAGTGCTGCAAAGCAAAAATGGCAGTGGAGGAATGAGACAGCAGTGACTGTACAGTTGCTAAATCACTCTTTTGTGGCCTGTGCATGTGTGTGGCCAGCTTTTAGTTTAGCTTCCTGGAAAGCGGGTATGTAGCCACCCTGCAAAAAAAAAAAAACCAAACCCACAAAACCTTCCTCTGGTAACTCACTGGTAGGCAACACATTCGATGTGTAGGGAGCCTGATGGGGTAAAGTGCTGCACTAGGAAGGCAGGCACAGTGAGGACTTAAGTGAAGTGATGTAGGAAGGTAATGCGGTTACTTTTTGTGCTTCGTTGTGTTGCTACCATTGCATTTCTGTAGATTGGGTTCTCCTAGGTTATTGCTGTAATTATAAAGTTATTTCTTTCACCAAGTTCGGATTCATTTTTTCAGTTAGCTGATTGGCAGTCAGGTAACATTATGGTAGTTCTCTAGAGATCTATATCCTCAATCATATTTTTTTCCTAAAAAATGACTGGTTATCAAATATATGCTGCAGGGCTTTATTTTTTTTTAATCATTACTTATATCACTTCCTTTGTAAGAATATTCAACATTAGATTTAAGAACTGTGTTTTGTTAACTTACACTTGTGAATTTTAAATATTTCTCTGAATATTTTTTGCTTAGGTTTTGCTTGTAATGGACACTAGAACACAGCAGACTTTTATATTGAAGGTGAGTAAAGTCTTTTATTACTCCACTAAACAGTTTGGCCTCCTAAATTACACCACCCCACAAAGATCAATTGGCATCTAATGTATAGAGTTACCATTGCGATATATTGTTATGTTAATACATATATCCCTATTATGTGCACTGGAATTGTTTGTTGGTATTCAGCTGCTTTCCGTTCCTCTCTCTGTAACATCTCTAGTACTCAGATATGCTGGTTTACTCACTTGAGTTGCCACCGGTTATTGAGGCTGGCACCGTAGCAGGCTTCGGTAAAGAATCACATTTTTAATGTTCTGCTTAAAACATCTGTGAAGCCCTGGTGGCTCAGGACATGTGCAGGCTGCTGCTGAAGGTGAAAATTCTCCTTAGCCCAAGTACATCCACAGCACTGTGTTTGGTCTTCCCTTAGCTGAAGAATATGATACTGGCCAAAGTGGATTCTAGATGAAATGGACGACTGGTCTTATTCAAAATTGCTTTCCTATGTTTTACATCAATAGGCTGTGAAAACTGAGTTTAATGTTACTAAACGATTGAATTAATGAACAGTTAATTGGTCAGAATAAAATTTTTCACATTACGCTTTTGTGTTTCAGGAAGTGCTCAGATCAAGATCCCAGTATGCTCGGAGCATCTGTGATACTGAGAATTAGTTTAGTATTAGTATTGTTATTGTAGCCATTATTTCAGGCTCCCCTTGACATTAATTCCTCTGCTGATGGCAGGAAGGGCTGAAAAACTGTCCCCCAAACATGGAGCTCTAATTAGTTGTTAACATTTTGTAACTTTGCTTCAGTTCTTTGAAATTGTCTTAAGTGTGTTCAGGGTACAGAAAACCTGTTTTGTTCCTCAGAAAGGATTATCTGTGAATATTGTATATTAGAATCTCACTTTATCTACTGGCAGACAGGGTAACATTGAATTTCCCATTTAACTGCTTATGTTTATCAATATTGTAATAGGTCACACTATTGACATAATTTTTTTTCTTTCTCTCTCCCCTCCCTTTCTCTCTCCCACATCAATTTTTTCACTTCTGGCAACTTCATCTCTGTGCTACCTCCCAAAAATCATTACCTCTCAAGGAGACTAATCCTTTCCTTTCCTTTTAGTTGTGGTTGGTTGTTGTCTTTACTAAAGTACAATGGAAATGTGAGGATTACCTGTAGGGCTAAGGCATTCTTTTGTCTTTAGAACTTGAATTGAATTTTTTTAATAGTGTCTTTTGGTCACACACAAAAATAAAATTTTAAAAAAAGGTCACAGGGAAATAACTGAGTGTCATCCTGATGACTTAGTTTGAGAGAGATTCTAATAAAAACATTGACCCATGTAATTGATTTTAATGGCAGCTTTGTGCCATCTTCTGTTCTCTGGAAATGCGCCAGATGCCATCAGCACAGCCTCGGGGGACCGAGGGGCATAGAGCAGCAGATGAGTGGTTTCTCTGAAGCCCAGAGTAACTCGGATAGATTAGTTTGGTTGATAAACACAGAGCACAGCAGGCTCCAAAGGCAACTGAGGGTACAACTGACCTTTTTGTTCTCTGTCAGGGTCTAAGGAAAAGTAGTGAGTACAGCAGGAGCAGAACGACCATCATCCCCCGCTGTGTGCCCAACATGGTGTGTCTGCACAAGTACATCATCTCCGAGGAGTCTGTCTTTCTCGTGTTACAGCATGCAGAAGGTTTGTCTCTCATTTAAGTATATTGTTAAAAAGTCAGAGGTTTAAGTTTTAATCAATGGTACATTTCATTGTCAAATTAATCTCTTATGCATCTAATTAAAATATTTTTAGTGTGCCTAAGAGATGTCATGTAGGACACCACACTTCCATCCTCTGTCCCTCCTCCTTTTTCCCCTTACTCTGCAGTGGATCTGATTCCTGTTTCAAATGGCCTCAAATCCTTATGGGTTACTTGAATGGTAGCGATATTGAAAGCTTCCAACTGTTTATTTTCTACAGGAGAGTGAGTGCTTTGACTGCAACAACTATCTGCAGTATTTACAGTCATCTCTCAGAGATAAAGTCTTTGGCTACTTTCGTAAACTTTGGCTAGTAAATCTTCTTAGCATCTTATAGTTAAAATGACAAGTATTTACAGAAGAATTTAATAACTCTGCTAAAAGACATGGCCATTTGCCTGTTGGTTAATATTGCATAGTTATTCTGAGCTGGATGTTTAAGAAAATAGCTAGTGGCATTGCACAGGAGTTCAAAGCAGAACCACAGAGTTGTGCCTTCAAACTATTTATAAAATTCCTGTTAAACGTACAGGGAACAGGTGGCACAAAATAATTACCATTTTGATTTTTTTGTCTAACACCTGGATTTAAATATTCCCTAAATGTAATTACCTGTATTTGTTTAGAATGAGTGCAGAATATAAATTTTGGGATTGCTAATAGTTCTCTTTTTAGGAAATGTAAATAATACAGTCAGAATGGATGATGTGAAGTAACTAAGCTAACTGATAGAGAAGATAATTTTATTACATTGAATAGGATTTATTTTTTTCCTAATAACTTTTGGCTTTTTCATGAACAATTTGTCATGTGAGGCCAGTTAAAGTTAACTTTACAATATGAATGTCTGTTTCTGCGATGTGTGACTTAATTTTGCCATGAGCAGCGATGCTTGAAGAAAAGCCTCCCGTTACAGTACTGCCTGATGGTGATCTCAAGGGTTTACAGTGCTGCTCTGTACAGTGCTACTTTTCTTGAGGTGTAATTCAGCAGAATAACTTGGAGACTCTCACCTGAACTGTAATCTCCACATAAGCTGGTACATTTTATTTGTAGAAACAATATTTAAAACAAACAAACCCCCAAACAAACAAAAGAACCACCCACAAGCCTTGTCAGATAGCAATTGTTCTTAAGACTAGCATAATCAAAGGGTTAGTGACAGGATAAAATAATAATTTAAAAATACTGTTCCTAATATTTCTGCAATTTCCGAAGACCTACAGTTTTTCTCTTCTCTTCAAGAAGAACATTCCTTCTCTAGACAGATGCAAAACTGGGTGAAGTAGTAGTGGAATTTGGGGGGAGTAGTGGTCAGATGGAGAGAACAAAAATTTTAAGGAAGGTTTAATGTGCCCAGTTGACACAGATAATCTCCTGGAAGTGATAATTTATTGTGACAACAGTGAGAAAAATGGAGATGTTGCATGATCAGAGGTCTTTCATTTAAGAGGAGAAATCTTATCTTAACATTTGGGATGGATGGGGTGTTCTTAAAGAAAAAGAGTGATTCTCTCTTGGTCATCTTTGACATGGTCACAAATCCAGTGAAACGTGCTTGGCCTGAATGTCTTGCTCTTACCAATATTGGCTGTAACGTGTTTTGAGTTCCATGAGGGAAGGATTTTTAATTTATTAAGTGCCTTCTAAATCAGGTTTGTGCAACACACAGCCTTATGCGGCAACCTACGCCATTTTGTTTGATCTGCTAACGGTGAAGGTGGTTTCTGTCAAGCCTCCTCATTTTGGCTGGCCAGGCAGCAACTGCATACTTGGAGGCAGCCACAGCTCACGTTGCCTTTCTCCCAGCTGTGGGTCAAAGCCATGCAAGTAGGAGACGTGGGAGGGAGATGGGTTATGTTGAGGTGGAGTTGGGAGAGGAGGTGCTGTCAAGATATGAGTGCTTTCTACAGGGAGAAGTCTGAAGGCGAACAGAGGGTAGGGAGTGTGGGAAGAACTGGGGAGCATTGCAGAGAGGATGGAGGACTGGCAAGCTGTGCTGGGGAGGAAGGGGAGAGCTGCAGGGACCCGAAGGGATTTTGGTGTGGATTAGGGCTGTTGTTGGTGATACATGGGTTCACTTGACTTGGACACTTGTTGGTATAAGTTATAAACTGCATAGGATTTTCCCTCATTTTCTGATAAAGCAGCAAGTAGTTTGGAAATGCAAGTTGTTTGCAAACCATTAAAAAAATACGATGTATTATAAGGACTTTTCCTTGATTATGAGGGAATTAACAGGGTTAAGTTATTTAAGGATGGTCACCTGCTTTCATGAACTTACTGTCTGGGCTCAGAACAGGCAAAGGGAGAGGAGAAGGAGTGATATTCTCTTTTAAAGAGGGGTAGCTGGGATACAAAGTGGTGTATAAATTGCCCGAGAATGCCTATAAAAGCGTGTTACAAGTGTAGGGCCTGATCCCAAATCCCTAATGCGGGCAATAATTTTGTGTTTCGTCTAGAACTGCATGGCCTGCGCACCTCACCCTGTCCCAGGAGACTGAGCTGGAATGTGATTCAGGAGACAGGCTTCATTTCATGAATAAAGCATGAATGAAAATAGGTCTGAAGTTATGCTGTACTATATGCAGGGACTAGTCTTGCTCACTCCACTGATGATGGTCTTGATCACATCAGTCTTATGTTAGTAGCGCTCATCCCTTATACTACAAGGATGGTAATATCAGCAATCCCTGTAGATAAAGCTGTCTTTATTTATATTTGGTCTAAGATGGACAAAATTTTAAGAAGGTACTTGTAGTTAATTTTGGGAAAGGATAAAAATTTCTAGGACAGTACATTCTAAGTGATAGTCTCTGAAATTTTATTCCATGACTTTATGAATGCTCTTAACATTCATACTCCATGTAGTTCTATTCCAACAAGAAAGAAGATCCTGTCAATTGAATTTCTAAGTGGTGGTGATTTATTATGTTAGGTATGTTAACCACACCATTGGGAAGTTCAAGGGTACAGTATTTAAGTGGGCAATGTTTTGAATTATAGAAAATTCAGAGGATTTTAATGTTGTGTACAGACATTATGTATTTGCTAAGCAGCTTACTATTTCCCGTTTGTAGTAACTTAACTGTATTAAGTGCAGCAGTATTGCGTTTTGTATGGAATTCTGCAAGCTTGACCACAGACTCTTGCTCAAGATGAAGACTTTTTTTTCTTTTTTTTTTTTTTTCTTTTGGTAAGTCATGATGCCATTACATGCTCAGAATTGGTGAGTGAGGCTTTTCTTATGGCCACAGTTGGAGGCTTCACAGGTGTCTCAGAAGCACAAAAGTCCATAAAGTTACCTTGTAGCTTTGTTGGAAAGCACTTGGCAAATTCTAGTGTAGTAGAGAGCCAATCTGATGTTAATAAGGCCTCACTTCTTCTTGGCACTACTAACTCCAGAAATTTTAGAAACAGATGCTTCAAAAATAGGCTGGGGGGCTTCCATGGGACATCAAAGTTTAAGTGGCTATTAGAAGCTGTCAAATCTCTTTAAGCATAAACAAGCTGGAGTTCCTATCAATCTGGAGAGCACTCAAGAAACTTCAGGCTGAAGAGGCTTGCTGCACGCAGGAATTGATAGACAGCAACACGATAGCATTCTGGCTTGCAAAGCTGGGGATTTGTCATTAGGAAAGGAGATAGTACTAGCTGTAAATATTCAACAGCAATCGGAAAATGTAGGGAAGGTGATACAGTCCTTGGCAAGTGACTTTTTCAGGAGGCTGCTTTGAAACAATAGCTTTTGCTCAAAGTGCATTGGGAATCGGGAGCTTTGCCTAAACTAGCAAACTTTGTAGTAGAGATTCACCAGCAGCAGTGGAAGCAGCCATGTATATAAGACTCTGGTGTTTGTAACTACTGTCACGTTGGAGATTAACTTCCAATTCATGCATACGCTGCAAACCCCACTGTGGCTGCTGTTGGGATGCTGTGAAACATTATTGTTGTATCATGGTAGTGCCTACATGTCTGGTTACCTTTTGGCCTAGAAACTGTACAGGCATAATTTTATGTGGTCATGGTATATTAACATGATACAGTTTACCATTTTTATTGGAAAGGAGGGCAATGATTCTAAGAAAACCATAAGGTTGTTCTTTCCAGCAAGGAAAAATATTAATTTGCATGAGGTGCGTGACTTATGGTTGGTACTCCTGGCCATAAACAAATTCTTATGCAGTGATGCAGAGAGTTGGGCCTGGTTTTGGAGAATAGTTCCAACAGATGCCTTTCAGTACTCTGTTTTTCTTCCCTATGTGATCACAGTTATTTGGAAACCTGCATTGTTCACTTTGACTTTATTTGGGATTTCCTAAATACAGCGATTACTGCATTCTTAGCTGCATTCCAGTTCTGCAGGAATTAGAGTTTATTGTCCTTCAGACTAAACTCATGGGCCAAGCTAGCAGAAGCCATTGATTTATTTTGGAGTACAACTCCTTAGTCAGCCAGTCTTTCAGGATGTGAAGCTGAAATGGTAAGTGTCTGAGCACTGGATGAGGAAAAATCCAATGAGTCATGAATTTTTCTTGTCAGCTAGAATAAAAACATGTTTAGGAGACAAAATTTGCTGATCTCTTAGGTTTCATTTTATCCTATGATACATACTGTATAGTCTCTGTGTCTTCTCTTTGATGTTCCTGTGTCAAGTGCTATTAATAACAAAAACCTGCAGAAATGTTTGAAGGAATATAAAAATATTATGGAACTAACAAGATTCCTAGTCAGCTTCATCACTTGGGCCACTTTATGCTGAAATTTCTTGTTGATTATTTTGGACACTTAACTTTTTAGATTCTACCTCTAGAAGCAGAGGTATAAGCTCCAGAGAGCTGGAAATGTGGTTAAGTAAGGCAATTCTATTAAGTAATTTTACATTGAATAGCTGCAGAAGAATGTAGAGCTTGGTGATTTTCATGTGCTAATAAAACCAGAAAGAGTGAGCTAGAATGGTTGTAGAGTCAGTTCACGGTAGAAGAAAATAATCTTAATAATTAGATATGTTAATACTGTATTTCTGAAATTGTATTAAACACTAATAAACTTTAACTTAAAACAGTAGCTTTTGTAGCTATTTAGTATGTTAGACTATTTGACAATGACCGAAGCTTACTTGTTTGGATTGATTTCTGTAATTTTAGTTTTTATAGATTCCTGATACTATATTAGCATGGCTTGCTAATGGGTTTTCTTGATCTTACACAACACATGGGGAGAGGGGGAAAGATTATTAGTATGTCATTCATAAAGGCATAATTATATACCCAGATACAAATATCACTCTTGTTTGACCCTGGATTGGACATTTTCAGAAAGGAATAAAATTGTTGTTTTTCACTATAGAACACAATTATTGAATAGCATTTATTTACGTATTTCCACTTGACCAGGAGGCCAGTCTTGAAATATTTGTGTATAAACATATTTGGACATAATAAATTAATTAATTTATTTATTTACTTGCATTTAACTCTAAATTGGAGCTACAGTAAGTAGTCGTTTCCAGTGATTTCTAAGTCTGAGTGATTATTAATGAGCAACTTCTCTTTTAAAAAGGTAAGATAATACATTTACAAATAGAAAATGAGTCATTGTTGCAGTTCTGTCTGTTTTCACAGGTGGACAGTGGCAAATTCATGAATACTGTAAGGATAAAGAGATTTTTTTTGTCTTTTGCAAATTTTAGGTTTGCTGAAAGCATTTGAAATTGAACATTTTGAAAAATACAGCCTGAAGCTCTTGACTCTTCCAGTGATTTTTCTGCAGGGTTTTGAAGGGCTGATCTCAACATGTCCGTTTTCTTTCCTTAATCCTTCTTGGATCTCCCATCTTTCTTAAGCTACACTCAGACTACTTAAGCTACACTCAGACTTCAAGTAGAGGCCAAAGTCTAATGGAGGCTGCATGAAATCTTGCATGAAGGGAGGTGGAGGGAGCAGAAGACAGAAGTTTTCCTGAGAGCAGCTTGACCTGTCTACAAGTGAAAAGCAAAGTTGTGTGAGAATAAGTCTTGCACTTCTCATACTGCTGGGCAGCCCAGCCCCTTCCTGTCTTAATAAGGGGGTATGAAACGTTTCGGTCAGTGAGAGCCCTTCAGGTATCACACGTAAAAGCGCATCTGGTATCCAGTGATGACAACTGTGGCAACAGACCACAGAAATAAGGTTTGGAGCTTTCTGCATCGCTGGTTCCAAAGCTTAGCCATTTTATAGCCACCTTCAAGTACCTGATGGGGGCCTACAAGAAGGCTGGGGAGGGACCTTTTACAAGGGCCTGCAGTGACAGGAGGAGGGGTAGTGGTTGGAAGCTGGGAGAGGGCAGGATTAGACTAGATTCAAGGAAGAAGTTCTTCACCCTGAAGGTGGTGAGACACTGGAACAGGTTGTCTAAGGAAGTTGTGGATGCTCCATCCCTGGCAGTGTTCAAGACCAGGCGGGATGGAGCCTTGAGCAACCTGGTCTGGTGGAAGGTGTCCCTGCCATGGCAGGGGGTTGGAACTAGGTGATATTTGAGGTCCCTTCTGACCCAAACCATTCTGTGATATGATACAATATTAGAAAGAACTTTTCTTACTACTTACGTTTGAGGAAGGACTGATGGTGCCAATATTTGCACTAAAGCCATGCCTGGAGGCTGAGGTACTGTCATGCCCGGCACTGTACAAAGCTGCAGAAATGTAACGTGGGTCTTTGTGGGTTGTGTTCCCTTTGAAACCTGAGATTTGTATTTTCATAGGAAATTTGTGAAGCAGTCAGTACTGTGTTAATAATCACTAGTAATATGAAATAATAATCACTAGTGATATGAAATAATAATCACTAGTGATGTGAAATAATAAATACTAGTGGTAGTGTTAGGATAGATAAATAGGAATTAAATAGCGTTTACTTCTAATTAATATAATGCAGGTGGGATGGGAAGGCTTTGCACATTTTATTAAATGCAGCAGTGGTGTGGGTGTCCAATGAGATGTTATTCTTTGGTATGGAATGACCCTAAATAATTCCATGCCTAGTTAATGAACTGGGTGAAGTTATTTTGCAAGCACTGTTTACTTAAAATAATTTAGTGGACATTTTAAATAAAATTAATTGTTCTATTGGAATCCACTGGTGAAATTAAACTTTTGTGTTGCTTCTTTTTGTCATCGATGGGAAGTGTAGAAAGGAGGAGAAAGTCTTTCATGCCTATATAAAAATATGTCTTTTCTGTTATTTTCTTTCCCAGCCATTCTGTAGCAAAAGCATGGATAAATGTAAAAAAGTAAAATTAGAAAAAGAATTGGTGATTACGGGGTGAACAACTTTTATTTTTACCAAGTCAGTTAAAAGCCAGTAACTGTGAAGTCCTATGCAAGCTGCAGGGCTCGGAAGGCCCGGCAGTGCCCTGGCTCTGCCTTTGCCCTGCCAAGAGCTGTGTAACGCGTTGTATTTAAGGCAAGTGGCTTCATCTTAAGAGCGTGCATGGAAACACCGCCTGTCAGAGAGGCAAGGTCCTGCTTGTCAGGCACTTCTGGCAGGACCGGGGCCCGTGGCCTCACCGACGCAGGGCAGCAGGTTGCTCGCGCGCAGGCGAGCTCAGGGTAAGCTGCTGTGCAGGGGGGCAGCCTGCTTCCCTGGGCTGAGGGTTGCTCTCTGCTGGGAGCGACTGACGAGCCGTGTCTTGCTACTGAGGCCGGGCATATGTGTAGGGGTTCTGATGTGTCTTTGGGTAAATGTTTAAGTGCCTGTGCAGGACGGCGGCCAGTGTGCTAGATACGTTCCCTTCTCTGTGAGCATTGCTGCCGTTTGCTCCTATGGGTTTACCTGGCATCCTTTCTCACTGCCGTCTAGAAGGTGGCAAGGGTTGTTCTGACCTACTAAATCCATTTTTGGCTTATGGCAGAAACCAAGTGGGCTAACAGATCTAAATTGTCATTTTTACTGTTGGACTCAAGGTGTTAGAATTCCCTCTTAATATTTCTAATATACTTAGTTTCTCTTCAACCAGCGAGGTTTGTGGTGTTTTTTTGTTTTTTGTTTTTTTTTTTTTTCTTTTTTCTTTTCCTCCCCCAAAAAGTCAAGTCTTATCCGGGGTGGGTGGAGGGCAAGAAAACTTCAGACTTTATTATTTTAAAGTATCAAAGTTTTTCTGCCTTTGATAAGCTATTTTTGAAATACCTGGGAATATATAAAACCTGTTCCTAGGTGGTGAAAAAATACTTTCTTCTTTTGTTGTACTTTTAAAAGGAATTTTGCCTGATATGGAGAGTGTTTAAAAATAACTATTAAAGACTGTATTTTAGAATAATATAAAACTCCGTTTTACCCAAATAAGTTAAAAAAAAAAAAAAAAAAAGGGAAAAAAAAAAAAAAAAAAAAATAAAAAAAAAAAAAAAAAAAGGCAGAACAAAAAAAAAAATACATTAAAACTTTGTAAATGCCCAGTGGTCTGGATACTTTTCTTCTACAAAGATATTGTTAGAACTGCATTTTCCAGAATTTCTGTACAATCTTTAAATTGAAATGTCTTGACTTTGCATTTTTCCACAAATTATTAAAGGTGGCTTTCTAGCTTTCAGCCAAATTCTTCGGCACGTCTAAGAGATGCAGTAACTTCTTGATTTGTTTTGTGCAAATTATGTTTTGTAAGCTGTAAGCTTTTTTGTGTGTGTAGTATTTGGAAACATTAGGAGTCCTATCTTGTATTTTGAGAATTTAACTATTACTTTTGGAGCTGTAACTTACTTAGAGTCTTTGCTGTGAAAGAACTGGTTTGCCAATGTAACTTAGAGTATTGATAAATCCTTGTGTAACGCAGCAAGGTGTAAAATCTTTCTTGATTTCTGAAGTTAAAGGGAGAAATACATCCATATTTAACTAACAAAAACCACTTCTTCGAAGAGAGAAACTGATCCTTCAAATATCCTACTAATACGAGGTAGTTCCCTTTGCCTTACTGAACTTGCTAATTAGTCATTTTTAGTCCATCTCCCCTAACATTGCTCATGAGCTTGGAGCTGTGATACAGAAGTATTCAGTACAGGCAGAACTGGTGATGGGAACTAAATCATTTGATCTTCCCTGGTTTTGCTTTCTTTTGAGACGGCAGATGGAGAGTATCACCACCATGCAACTTGAGACAGACTCTGAAATGAGACTTTACTGAAGTTAAAAAAAAAAAAAAAAAGCTTAATCTCAGATGCAGCTTTTAAAATATTTATGTATTAATACAAATCTGCTTGAAAAGCAAGTTGTGGCCCCTGCAATTATTTCCTTCTGAGGTAGCGGATCCAACTTGCTCTGTGGACATAAGGAGGTAGTGTATTGTGACAAAGAGGGAATTTGCCTGCTTCATAATGAAACTGTGTCTGGTTTGAGTGTAATTAAGATGTTCCCCCCACACCTTTTTCTTGCAGGAGGAAAACTGTGGTCTTATGTCAGTAAGTTCTTAAACAGAAGTCCTGAAGAGAGCTTCGAAATTCCTGAACCCAGAACATCCAGTTCAACTAAAATTTACCTGGAGCAGCCAACACCAAGTCCTAAAGAAATTGGTAGCAGCTCTGAGTCCAGAGAAAGCTACAGGGAGAGCACGCTGAAGGTGGTCCCGCTCCAAAGCAGCCTAACGCCGAGCTCTCAGGATGACAGCAGCAACCAGGAAGATGGCCAAGAGAGTTCCAAGTGGATGGACTCAGGATCCAGCTCAGAAGAAGAATGCACTACTAGTTATTTAACGTTATGCAATGAATACGGGCAAGAAAAAGTTGATTCTGGCTCTCTAAATGAGGAACCGGCGGTTAAACTGGGGAGTGAAGGTCTAAATACCAAAGAGAGAAGTTGCTTACAGCAATGTGGTGTTGTTGGCAGTGATAACTTCAGCTGTCAGATTGCATCTCAGGAACGAAAGCTTTTCATTGACGACGCTGAGTCGGAAATAGCTAGCCCTACTAGGATATTGGACTCGTTAACTAAATCAAAGAACAGCCCCATGGAACTCTTCAGGATAGACAGCAAAGATAGCACTAGTGAGCTCCTGGGGCTTGATTTTGGTGAAAAATTATATAACCTGAAATCGGAGCCTTTGAAGCCGTTGTTTTCTGTCCCAGACCATGACAGAAGCTTGGATGCCGTAGAGAGCAAAATGGGTGTGAAAGCTCATGACACCATAAGCAGGGGTTCCAACGACTCTGTGCCAGTTATCTCCTTTAAGGATGCTGCTTTTGATGATGTAAATAGCATTGATGAAGGAAGGCCTGATCTCCTAATAAACTTACCTGGTATGTCTGATGAAATAGAAGAGGCAGCAGAGTCAAGGCCAACAAAGTTTACAAAAACTGATAGGGACATGTTGGAAGTAAAGTTACTAGAAACACCTGATGTCTTACAGTTAAATAATTCTTCAGAGCCATGCAAAGCATTTGATCAAGAGCCAAATCATGTGGCACCGGAAGCGGACGATCCTTTGTGCGAGGAAGCAAATGGACAAAGCGGTGTCACTCAGGGAGCTCTTGGGACCCTCTTTACATCTGACCAAGAGGTAGGTAGTTCAGAAGACGGAGCTCTGTTTCAAGGGCTTGGAGCCTGCTCCTTGAACGTGACAAGTGAAGACGAAAGTTTATTTCTTTCCAACCCGCTCTCAGGTGCTCAGGATGTTAGCGTGGACAGAGACGCGTTAAGAAATGAAGCAGTGTTGCTGTTTTCCGATCAAACTGAAGACTTTGGCAAAGAGGAAACAGACCCGGCTTTGTTACCAGCAGCTGAAAGTAAAAAGACAGCACCAAAGAGGGAAGACAAAATAGCAGTAGCAGGGGAGAAGGAAATACATCAAATTTTTCAGGACCTCGACGAAAGATTAGCGATAACCTCCAGGTTTTATATCCCAGAGGATTGCATTCAAAGATGGGCAGCTGAAATGGTTGTAGCCCTTGATGCTTTACATAGAGAAGGAATTGTGTGCCGCGATTTGAACCCAAACAACATCTTATTGAATGATAGAGGTCAGGAACTTTTGCAAATGCATTTCTTTTTATTCGCTGTTGCTTCCAATTAACTGAGTAGGCGTTTTATCTTGTAATTAGTATCTTCATTTCCTGTCTAGAGCTTCATTATCAGTGCAGCAAATTCACCCCCAGTAATAGCTTCTAGTACTTAATGATGCCATTATTCTTAATGATACTGTTTTTAGCTACAAAAGGAGTAATTACAGTTCACTTCTGCAGAAAATGGAAGGGAAAAATGTTTTGATTTCTCCTGTCGTTTTGTTTTTAGGACACATTCAGCTAACGTATTTTAGCAGGTGGAGGGAGGTTGAAGATTCCTGTGACAACGATGCCATAGAGAGAATGTACTGTGCCCCAGGTTAGAGCAATCACCTACAATGTTACACTTGGAAAGTAGATTAGCAGCTTTCATTTTCTCACGGCGCCTCTCGAGATCATGCAATTTCTGAATTTTCTTTGCTTTATCCGGAATGTCTTAAAAAGCTAGAGGGCTCGTAACTGCTTTATTGTTGAACTGTGGTGGTATTTGTTAGATGGTTTCCATGAAGTGTAATTGTATTGAATGTCTTGTTTCAGCAAATTTAAGGAATGTTTTGTTTTCTTGCAGTTATTTGCTATGTGTGAGTACGTCTTGGTAACTGAAAAGAGCAAATAAGGGAAAGGGCAGACTGAAAAGATGACACGAAGAGCCTTAAAAATACAAAAATTTATACATGCAAAGAACATGGGGGAAAAAAAGCCATAGCTGTTTGAAAAATACAACCCTAATAGGCTCAGAGATGCCGCTGACATTTTTGAAGAGCTACAGTGGGCTTTGAAATAGTTTAGAGAGCTCTTTTCTTAGAACTGCTTTCATCAATCATGAGGGTGATAAAATCAATATCTCTTGTTTTTTTTATAGCAAGGATGCCACTTGAAACTGAGCCCTCTCTCTTTTCCTTTTTCCAATTTATTTTCTGCTAATATAGTGGTCAAATGGTAGTGACAGCTGAAAATCATCCGTTTTACTTATAACTTTGTATTTTAAAAATTTCATAGCTAGCTTTAAAAACCTGCTTTTAGACTTGAAATGACTACTGGGAAGCTGCTCAGGTTTTCAGTTTCTCTTTTTTTTTTTTTTTTTTTATTCTAGATTTGAAATGCCAACATACTCTTTGCTGCTGAGCGCGAGGTCTGGCTAGGCATTGCAACTTGGCACGCAGGTAGTCCTCAAGCTCAGAGTCTGCAAATATGCTCAAAAAAATTTAGAATAAGAGTTATCAACAATGGAAGTTCTGAACTTAGTTTAGCATCAGGTGTTTATTCTGTGACTTAGTCCTGCAACTGAAATACAGTAAGGAACAGCTCTCTGAGAATAAATGTGTTAGGATATCAACAAAAATTCGAATGCCGGCCTTTTGAGATAAATAGTAAATAAGATCGTTTCTATCCCCGTGCAAGTCAAAAGGGCAGATATTACGGAAAACAGTTCTTTCTACCTGTCAAAGCAAACCCCACCCCTTCATTCTACCCTCATCCCATGTTAATTCAAGAACAAGAAAATTGGAGGATCCCAGCAATTTTTGTTGCTGTTAAATAGAAACATGTCCTGGTTGCCACCGTGTGTGACGTCCGGTTAGAAAGAGGTGTTTTCCTGCCTCCCTAACCCAGCCTGGTACAAAGCGCTCCCTAGATGAGTAGTAGCAAAGATGGAAGTGCAGCCTTTTCCCACCCTGTCATCATTAATGAGCTGTGAAAGTCAAAGCTTAATTTTTCTGTATTTTAATGAGGATCCAAAGAGAGGCTTTTTTTGCCCCCTAAGCCCCAACCAGCCAACTCCTGCAGTAATTAAGTGTTCAGGGAGCAGTTAAAATAATATTTAGAAGTCCCCAAATGCAAGAATAAAGTTTTCCGCACCATCATTATTTCCACCTCACAGCACAGGTGTGGTATCCATCCAGGCTTTTTTTTGGTTAAGTTGCCCTCTCCTCTCCGCCCTCTGTGCCCTACCCCAAGCTGCAGTTTGCTCTGTGTGTCTGTGGTGAGCTGCAAGATGAAGATTTGCAAATGTAAATATTAGATATATGCAAGATGGCTGAACTGATACGGCTGCTTGATTCTTACCTTTCGTATTCCTTGATCTTGATGTTATCTCTTCAAAGTGTACTTTTATTGTAGTGTAGCTATTTCATGCTAATTTTTGCGCAGGAGAGTAATATTTGGTGTAACTTGGTAGTACAAAATATATTTTGGAGCCAAGTGCCATTCTATTCTAAGCAATGGTTTAATACCTGTGCCTTCAGCTTTCTTAGGGCTACTGCTGCTGGTAAATATTGCTCTAGAACTTTCAATCAGTATTAAAAAATAACCATGTTAGTGGGCTCTCTTTAGGCTCTGATGTTACAGGAAAAAGAACCCACTTAGGTGATTGTTTTTCATTTTAAGGAGTGTACCATGTCCCTGGAACCCATGTCTCCTGTTTATCATAATAGTTTTGCTCCTTAAGCTGCTTCTTGGAATAAGGATTTTGAAATTATACTTGTGCTTCAGTTCAGTGCACTAAGAGAAATTGGCAAGTTTTGGTTTTTTTATTCTTTCTAGGTTGCTTTTTAAAACTGATTGTAAATGTTTCTTACAGCTTGCTTTCTGAAGGAAGGGCTGCAGTTTTGTAGAGGTGAACAAGTGATGTTCACAAAATTTCATCAGGGCTTATGATTTCTTACCGTAATACAACACAGTGACTAAATAAAGTGACTCAAAGTGAGTCTTTATCTTGTTTTGAGTTTTCCTGGTATTTCCAGTATTGTGTGCTGTGTTGCCCTACCTCTGGGTACTCAGCCTTCCCTCTGCTTTTCTCTCCTAACTGAAGGATGCAGTGAAAGTTGTCTTGTAAAATTTTGTCTCCATGTGTTTAGTTTCGTGTGTGTTTTCATCAGTTTGGGATAGAACAGGATTTGGATATGGTAACTTGTATGTTACGTGATTTCAATGTTTTGTTATTTAAATGCATTTGTTAAAAGTGTGCAAGAAAGGGAAGATGTCTTTATCAAAACACTGTTTTTAGGGTCTGGTGTTGTTGGAGACTGAGAACAATGAGTCTTGGGTTGCAGTTCTTTTTCTGCATTGATTTTTGAGGAGCAAATTTTGGAGGCAGAAAAAGGAGAGGGTGAATGCAAAATTTAACAGATTGTAGGATATCTTCAATTTAAACTAAGTAGGAAATTTTATTGCAGAGTTATGAAAGATGTAAAAATGTATTTGAAACAATTTTATCTTTTTAATTGATAAGGTTTGGGGTGTTACTTTTTTACAGCACAAGTTATAAAGTGCTTACCGGTGAAGTGCTTGAGACATATTTAAGTTGCTTAATTGGTTGAATGAAAACATGGAGTCAAAGTTCTACAATTTGTATATCAGAATCTAATTCCGGGGGGGGGTTAGGGATAATAATGTGTTAATGTTGAAGCTTTTCAGACTCAGGGGAGAACAGAGGTCTAACTACATGAAGATTTCTTGTAGTATCTAGGATTTTGTATTTGAGGCGTTCAGTACCCCAGGTTGTAACCTTGTATTAAACCAAAGCAAGGCAGTATCGGTACAGAAACAGATCCTTGCCATGGTGAATAGCAAGGACTTGCTCAGCTCTTGTTACGCTACGAAAAGCAGAGAGGCAATGTGACTGCCAATGTGGAAAAGAGATTATGCAGTGTATATATAAAATAGTAGAACAAATGCAAACATTACAAATGGAGAAATGTCAAAAACACGAGGGAAAAGATAGTTTAAAAAGCTGCATACCATTCCCTGCTAGCAATATAATTAATTTTGTATGAAATAGCAATTGTCATTTTATATAGTGCATAAATTAAAAGCAGGGCTAAATCTGTTGCAAGAAGTGGCACTTCTCCACTGCTGACGGCAGGTGGCATTGTACCATTAATGGATTTTGCTGCTGCACTTGCTGCCTCTCGTGTGCCTGTAACTTCACATAAGAACTGGAGACAGACGATGCGGTTTATTTGTAATGATTTGCATATCAAGAATTGTACTTGCAAGCCCAGACTCGTGGTGTGATATAATGCTGTTGAATCTGTTGGTAAAGCTGGATAACTCTCTTTACTCCTGCATAGTTCTACTCAATAAAAAAAGTGAGTTCATGCTGACCTAACTACTGCAACAACAAAACTATCTGCAGATGCTTAAAAGTAGCGCCTGTGCTATACTTTGATTAATGGCCAAACTAAATCTTTGCTGTTCACCTATGATAAGTCAAATGTTGTTTCTCTAACCCACAAGGGAAAGGATGGATTATAAATCATCGCCTATAAACTCAACACCACTTCAAGTAAAACTGTGGGGGTTTTGGCCAAGAATAACCTATTTGCTTTTAAAGAAGAAATTAAGCCCCTGTAACTGAGAATTTTTGCTGCATTGATATGGTCAAGGTGACTAATGTGAGGTTTATGGGTTTTTTTCTTTAACTTTCCTCCTCTTCATAGTGATTTTGTTTTCTGAATGTTTTAAAGTGTGCTAGGCAGCTGATGTCTGAATACAAAGTTATTAGTAGATCAGATGAGAATGATTCACTTCTGTTTAAACAGCCCTTTGCTCTCCATGCCCCCTGAGAACTCTTATCACATATTTGTCCAAAAAACCCCGCAAAAACTAACAAAAAATCCCTTGCGTTATCCACCTGCCTGGTGGCTGATAGTATCAGCAATGTATCTCTTTATCTCTTGGTTAATGTGCCTTGGTATTCTGAAGGGGGGAAAATTCCAGTAACAGATTCAATTTACACAGACAGAAACTTGAGCAAATGCCAGCCTAGCAGGGGGGCCATTATTCTGCTCTATAAATAAGTTTAAAAAAGAAACAAACACACACACAAACCTGTGAATCAACATGTTTTGGTCTAATTGAGGGAAAAGCAAGATAGATGAATTTTGAAATGCAAATGATCACCTTCTGTTATTTAAGTATCGGTTTTGCCAACTTTGTGATCTTGAATATAAAGAGTTGTTACCTTTTAAATGGAGTAATAATGATATTCCATTCTCAATAGTCATGATTTTTAGAATAAAATTAGTAACTCTTTTAAAAAAGCCCCTTCATAGTATGCTTAATACCTGAGAGAAAGACAAAATGGTCTACAACAGCCTAGTCAAGACTGCCTTCAACTAAAACAGATTAAGTTGAGGATTTACTCATGAAGAGAGATCTTTTAGGTACTTTTTTGATCTAACCTGTGAAGTGTCATGTTGTAGAAGGGGCTTGCTGGTCTAACATCTTGTGTAAATACGAAGTGTGAATGAGATGGTTTTTTACACTCTCCCGAGTTCTGGTTCCAGCAGTGGGGATGCATTCTGTCTCATCCCTGTA